GGTCTCCCTGTAGTTCCAGCTGTCCTGGAACTCACTATGTAGACCAGGCTGGCCTTGAACTCACAGAGATCCACCTGCCTCTGCCTCCCAAGTGTTGGGACTACAGGCATATTTTTTATTTATTATTTTTATTTTATGTGTATGAGTGTATTACCTGCATATATGTGAGCATACCTGTGTTGTGCAATGCCACAGAGGTCTGAAAAGGGCATCGGATTCTCCTGGAACTGGAGTTGAGGACGGTTCGTAGCCACCATGTGGGTGCTGGGAATTGAACCCGGGTCCCCGGCAAGAGCAGGCAGTGCTCTTAACCGCTGAGCCATCTCTCCAGCCCCTGTACATGATAAATAAAAATATTTTTAAAAACTGTAGTAAAATAGTATATTTTACAAAGACTGAAGTAATTTTTCTCTTCTTTGCAAAAGTGTCTAACCTGTATGGACTCTGGTGATCCTTCCTTTGAACAAAATGATTCTCCTATCATTTTGCCCATCACTGCTCCTGAAGCAGATGATTCACTCACATCACAGGAAATACCACAGACACTGACTGAAACACAGACTCTTCCTGCAGAGCAATTCCATCTTGTGGACCAAAATGGGCAAGCTATTCAGTATGAGCTTCAGCCATTGGGAGATTCTAATGCACAAATGGTGAGTATATATTATAACTATCCAGTATTAGGCTATTTAGCAAATATTATTAATTGTATTAAATGACTTTACTTTCTTTTTAAAAATTAAAAAAATATTTTATTATTTTTATTTTATGTGTCTGAGTATATTGCCTGGATGTATGTAAGTGCACCCATGTCATGCAGTATCTGTGGAAGACAGAAAAGAGGACATTGAATTCCCCTGGAACTGGAGTTGTGAACAGTTGTTAGCTGCCATGTGGGTGCTGGGATCCAAACCCAGATCTTCTGCAAGAGCAGCCAGTGCTCTTAACCACTGAGTAATCTTTCAGCCCCGACTTTACTCTCTTGACTTATACATTATATTGGAAATACTCTTTCCATGACTTTGACTTTTTTATATAAGGATTTAAAATTTTTCCTCTTAGGAGTACAAAGATTATAAATAGTGCTTAAAGCAGTCCTCTTTAGCTGCTTGTGTCTAGGCACATTGGTGCTTTGGGTGAAGTTGGAAATACAGTATGTGCCATAGTTTATCTGCAACTTTTTTGTTTCTTTTTTGGTATTTAAAAAAAATTTTATTTTATGTGTATGCATGCTTTGCCTACATGTATGTAAGTGTACCACGTACATACAATGCCTGCAGAGGCCAGAAAAGGCCAGCAGATCTGGAACTGAAGTTACAAATGGTTGTTAGCTATCATGTGGGTGCTGGGAACTGAACCCAGGTTCTATGCAAGTGCAGCCAGTACTCTTAACAGCTGAGTCATCTCTCCAGCTCCCTTTTTTGGTGTTTTGAGACAGCGTCTCATGTAATCCAGGCTGGCCTTTCATTCACAGTGTAATTAGACTTCATGCATGTACTGTCATGATTAAGAGCATAAATGGGCTTGGCATGGTAGTGCATGCCTTTAGTCCCAGCACTTGGGAGGCAGAGGCAGGTGAATTTGTATAAATTTCTGAGTTAGAGGTCAGCCTGGTCTATATATCCAGTTCCAGGTTAGCCAGAGCTACATAGTGAGACCCTGTCTCAAAAAACAAAAACAAACAAAAAAAGTGCATAGATGGATAATACATAGACTGTAGGATCAGCTGCCTGTTATAAGTCTTAGCTTCACTACTTGTCAGCTATGGGAACTTGGGTAAATTGGTATAGGCCTCAAAATTTTATCTATAAAATAAAGTAAGATGATTCATCATAGAAGTAGGTATCTATTTAAATAAATAATTCTGAGAAATCAGAATGGCTTGTGCATTTTTTTTAATGCCTCCAAGATGATCATTACCAGACCTTCAGAAAATGGACAGGTGCTTCGTGTAATTCCATCTACCCAGACTGGAATGGCGCAAGTGATTATACCTCAGGAGCAGCTTGTGGATGTGAATAGTCCTCCAGGTAAGTCATAATGGGATATAGGGGATTTCAGAATGTTTTAAGAATTAAGTGATATTCTGGAAAAATTCCTCATGAAAGTCAGTGTTAAAGTTGATCTCTTTAGGTAAGATTATCAACTGAGTAATTGAAAGAAGTTTCTTAGCCCAAATAAATTTTAAGTTCATTGTTCAACTCCTGTCTAGGTTAGCTGTCTAATTCATTTTGGAATTCTTTGAAGCTGGTTGACTCCTGCTTCCACCCAAATAGCTAGTGAGCATAAAACAAATTCTTCTTAATTATAACAATAGCAACAATAACACAAATGTAGTTCTTAGCTACAGAAAGTTTTACATTTATATTTTTACTGATGACCATATGACTCGTTACTTTTTTCAGCTCTCATTTTTATCCGCAGCCTTTTTCCTCTTTCCTTTTCTCCTTTGAATTCAGAAGAGTCAGGCTTCCCATTTCTTTTCACACATTCTTCATTTACCTGTTTGTAACATCCAGATTAGCTCTCTTTCTTCTGCTTCCCTCCCTTTGCCATTTATTTGAATCTCTTTTAACATCAGGTATACTATTTTGTTGCTCTTTTGTGGATATTGGTTTAAGATAGATATTTTTACATTTGTTTTATGATTTATTGTCTTTGTTAATAGTCATTAAAAGTTAAGCCAAAAATATAGTTTACAGAAACATTGTAAACATAATATATTATTTTTTGTTTTCCTATTATATTGTGAAACTCTTTAATAAAACGGTTATAGTTCCTTTAAATCATAACTATTAAATATAAGTTCTAAAAAGTTAATTACAGAATTTTAATAGTCAAACAAGTTTATCAATAATATTCTCAATACAACATTTTTTTTTTTTTGGTCTTTTTGAGACAGGGTCTCCCTGTAGCCCTAGCTGTCCTGGAACTCACTATGTAGACCAGGCTGGCCTTGAACTCACAAAGATCCACCAGCCTCTGCCTCCTAAGTGCTGGGATTAAAGGCGTGTGCCACCAAGCCCAGCCAATACAACATTTAAAGTTTTGTTTTCTTTAACTTCAGAACTATTCCTTTTTTCTATCAAAATATTTGAGCTCTACTTAGGTAATCTTTATAGTGTTACTCAATTTATTGATGTTTCTGTGTTCTTGTTTTTGTTGTTAAGATGTCTCCGAAGAGAAATGCACTGACAGAAACTTACCAGCTGGAAGGATAGAGCCCGGCCAATACAACATTTAAAGTTTTGTTTTCTTTAACTTCAGAACTATTCCTTTTTTCTATCAAAATATTTGAGCTCTAGTTAGGTAATCTTTATAGTGTTACTCAATTTATTGATGTTTCTGTGTTCTTGTTTTTGTTGTTAAGATGTCTCCGAAGAGAAATGCACTGACAGAAACTTACCAGCTGGAAGGATAGACACTCTAGAAGACAGCACCAATAATTATACTCTTCATTCACAAACATCCGTTGCATTACCCAAAAAGTGAGTCAGTGGGAAAGGTCTTATCTTTGAAATCTGCTTTTAAATGATTACATCCAAAGCTGGCTTGCCATGGAAAAGATCAAAAATTCAGAAAGAAGCATTCATCAGCTATCTATTTATTTGAATGGCTTCTTGAAAACAGTGACACTTCTCTATTACCTTCTATAGCAGTGTGAAATATCTAATGGACTATTTTAGAATAAAGACATACCTATTCTAGTTCCTAAAATTTTTAATGGTTTTACTACATTTATGCACATAAAATTCTTCTGTGATAAAATGTTTAAACATTTTTTTGCTAATAATATTTTTTCCCTTCTTTTGTGGTGGTTCTAGAGAATTGAACACAGGGCCTTGAGTATGCTAGGCAGGCAGTCTCTCCCACACAGCTACAAACACAGCCTGTTTATTGATGACTTCTATTTTAGTTTTTCTTTTTGCCTTAAAAAAATAACACCATTCATGAAAATTTTAGAAAGGTATTGAAAGTATCTTTTTATGTATTTCTGTTCCTTTAATTGTTCTACAAAAGTCTTTTGAAATAAGACAATATTTATATTGTGGGTGGGTGTTTTTCGTTGTTCTTGTTTTGTTTGTTTTCCTATGCTAGGATCAAACCCAGGGCCTTTTATATGTTAGGCGAAAGACCTAACACTTAGCTATACCTCTAGCCCAAGAAAATATTTATATATATATATAATTATAATATATATAATTTTTTTCTGACCTTGGGCTTTTTTAGTTAAAAGATTTTTGATTACTATTTCTATCTCATTGGTTGTTATAGATCTGTTTTAATTATTTACATCATCTTGGTTTAACTTTGGTAGGTCATTTACATCTAGAAATTCATTCATTTCTTTTAGATTTTCCAATTTATTAGAATATAAAATTTTAAAGTATGTCCTGATGATTCTCTGAATTTCCTCAGTGTCTGTTGTAATGTCTCACATTTCATTCTGGTTTTATTAATTTGAGTCTTCTCTCTCTTTATTTTGGTTTACTTGGCTAAGTGTTTGTCAATTTTGTTGGTCGTTTCAAAGAACCAGCTTAAATTTTTTAAAAAATTTTTATTTCATTAAGTTCTGCCCTGTTCTTCATTATTTTTCTCCATCTACTGCTTTAGGGATGAGTTTGTTCTTGTTTTTCCAGTGCCTTAGAGTTTATCATTGGGGCATTTGAGATAGCTTTTTTTTTTTTTAAATGTAGGCACTTAGATCTGTCAGCTTCCCTCTGAACTTCCTTTACTGTATCTTATAGATTTGAGCATGTTATGTTTTCATTATCATTTAATTCTAGGAATTTTTAAATTTTTCTTCTTGATTTCTTCAATAACCCATTCATCATTCATTAATGTGTGGTTTAATCTCCTTGAGTTTGTATATTTTCTCTTCCTGTTGGTTTCTAACTTTATCTCCTTGCAATCAGACTATAGGACGTTGTTTCAGTTTTCCTATATTTGTTGGGACTTGCTTTATACCCTACTATGTGACCTATTTTAAAGAAGATTCCATGGGCTGCTAAGAAGAATATGTATTCTTTGGTGCTTGGATGGAATATTCTGTAGATATCTGTAGATCTATTTGATCTATGATGTCATTTAATTCCAGTGTTTCTTTATTCATTTTTTTTGTAGAGTTGATCTGTTTAATGTTGACAGTGGGGTATTGAAGTCACTTACTGTGTTGAGATTAATCTGTGATTTTAAAATTATTATTTTAATTTTACATATCTGAGTGTTTTACTTGCATGTATGTATATGCATCTGTGTCATGGAATGCCCTTAGAGTCCAGAAGAGGGTGTCATATCCCCTGGAACTGGAGTTACAGACAGTTGTTAGTGCCATGTAGGCCCTGGGATATGAACCTGGGTCCTCTGCAAGAGCAGTCAGTGCTCTTAACTGCTGAGCCATCTCTCCAGTTCTTAATCTGTGATTTTTAAAATCTAATAATATTTGCTTTACAAAATCCAATGAACCTGTATTTGGTACATATATATTTAGAATTACAGTTTCCTCTTGATGAATTGTTCCCTTGATCAGTATGAAATAATCCTCTTTATCTTCTGACAAGATTTGAAGTCCATTTTGTCACGTATTAGACTAGTAGCACCTGCTTGTTTCCTGGTTCCATTTGCTTGGAATACTTTTTCCATCTTTTTACCCTAAGATAATGTTTATCTTTGAAGGTAAAGTATGTTTCTTAGAGACAACAAAAATAAGGGTTCTCTTTCTAATCCAATATTGTAATCTCTGTCTTCAGTGAATTGAGAACATTGATATCCAGAGTTATTACTGAAAGATGTATATTGCTCCCTGTCACTTGGTTGATTTTTTTAATGTTTGGTACTTTCTTAGTCCTCTTTTGTTTAATGGGTGTCTTGGCATTATTTAATTTGTCCTGTAGTTTCTTGAGTATGTATATTTTTAGCTTCAGACTGAAGTATTCCTTCTAGTAACCTTTCTAGGACTGGCTTGGTGGTCATAAAGACCTTTAGCCTGCTTTCATTATTGAACGTTTTCACCTTCAATTATGAGAGGTAGTGTTGCTGGGTGTATTAGACTGGGTTGGCAATTGTATCTTTTGGAGTTTGAAAGGTATCAGTCAAAACCCTTCTTGCTTTCATGGTTTTTTGAGTTTTTTTTTTTTTTTTTTTTTTTTTTTTTTTTTTTTCTGTCTTTTTGAAGCAGGATCTCCCTGTAACCTCAGCTGTCCTGGAACTCATTATGTAGACCAGGTTGGCCTTGAACTCACAGAGATCCGCCTGCCTCTGCCTCTTAAGTGCTGGGACTACAGGCATGTGCCACCACGCCTGGCTCTTTCATGGTTTTTACTGAAACATCAGTAGTATTTTAATGGCCAACCTTTGTGTGTGACCTGGCCCTTCTCTTGTGTAGCTTGCAGTATACTTATCTTTGTCCTGTTCATTTAGTGTTTTAACAATAAGATGTGGGGAGTTTTGTTTTGTTTTTTGGGGTGCCCTGTCTGTTTGGTGTTTACTGTATCAGATCTGAATGGACTTCTTTTTCCCTCAATTTCTTTCTGTCATTTTATTAAAAATATTTTTGTGCTGTTTACATAAAAATTTTCTCCTTTTTGTATGTATATAATTCATGTCCTGCCTTTTCATAGAGCTCCAAAGTTCCCTTCATAGTTAAAAAAAATTATCAGCTGGGTGTGGTGGCTCACGCCTTTAATCCCAGCACTTGGGAGGCAGAGGCAGGCGGATCTCTGTGAGTTCAAGGCCAGCCTGGTCTACATAGTGAGTTCCAGGACAGCTGGGGCTACAGGGAGACCCTGTCTCAAAAAGACAAAAGAAAAAAAAAAATTGACCTGCATGAATGATCCAAGTTCCTATATATTTTGTCTTCATAACCTGATATTCTATTTTCTACATGATCTCTTCTATTGGCAAGCCTTTCCATTGAACTTTTTAAAAAATCTATTGTGTATTTCATTTCTATCATCATTTTGGTTTTAGTTTTCTTCAATAATTTCTCTCTTTATTTCATTCAGCTCTCTATGTTCTTTTGGAAAATATTCAAGTCCTCTTTGAGTTGTTTTACCATACTATAAGCATTCTTTTTAATTCTGCTCTGGAATTTTGATCAGGGGCCATTAGTATGGAGTTGGTATTTTTTGGAGGAGGCAAGTTGTCTTTCTTTTTCATGTTATTTGTGGTTTTGTGACGGAATCTGCCCATCTGGGCTTAGATCATTGTGTAAGATTTTTGTTGTTCTTTTTTTTTTTTTTTTTGGTTTTTTTGAGACAGGGTCTCCCTGTAGCCCCAGCTGACCTGGAACTCGCTACGTAGACCAGGCTGGCCTCGAATTCACAGAGATCTGCCTGCCTCTGCCTCCCAAGTGCTGGGATTAAAGGTGTGCATCACCACGACCGGCTTTGTTGTTCTAATTCAAGTTGCCTCTTTTTTTTCCCCAGTGGTTGTGTTTGCAGTGTTAAGGAGTGACTAGGTTGTAGTAGAGTTATGGTGATGTTTTTGTTAGACTGTTATTCTAGACACCAGGGTCTATCCAATCTGTCCCCTGTGCATTGAGTACAGTATGCAGCAGCAGTGACTATTCAGTAGTTAACCTACTCTGATAATAGAGGAACAGATGACTACAAAACAGACATTTGTTAAATATTGATTGGTTTAGGTAGTAAAGGGATCCTGATACTATAGTATATACTAATATGTTAGCATGAGTAGAAAGAAAGAGAAAAGAAGAGGTAAGCGATCACTGTGAGACTCCTGAGAAGTCCTAGATTGTTAGAGGAGAAGTAGAAGAGAGGGACATACATAGGAGTGGGAATAATTGAGGCAAAGGAAAAATGGAGTAGTTAACAGCAGACTGAAAAGAATGGGTAAAAATATATACCCAGATATCATAAGCCAGGTCAGGTCAGCCTTTGGACTTTGGGAGATGTTCAGTAAGCTGGGCGTGGTGGTGCATGCCTTTAATCCCAGCACTCAGGAGGCAGAGGCAGGCAGATCTCTGTGAGTTCAAGGCCAGCCTGGTCTACATAGTGAGTTCAAGGACAGGTGGGGCTACAGGGAGACCCTGTCTTAAAAAGACCAAAAAAAAAGTTATTATATAATGAGAAAAGCACAAACTATGCTTTGGGGGAGCTGGAGAAATGACTCAGGGGTAAAGAGCACTTACTACCAGTAAGTGAGCACCCACATTGGGCAGCTCACAACTGCCTGTAACTCCTGCTCTATGGGGCGCGCGGGGCTCTCTGTGCGCCCTAGAAGCAGCACAGCGGGCCTGGCCACGTCCCGCGTCGCTGTCCGCCGCTGAGGTGCTGAAGGTCTCGCAGCACCGCTGCTCCGCGTCTCTGTTGTGGCAGCGGATCTCTGCTTCTCCGCTGCTTCCCTGTGTCTTCCGTGGCTCTCTGCTGCTGGGGCTTTGCCCAGCCGAGTCCCGCCCTAATTTCACCCGTGCACTTTCCTCAAGATGCGAAATCCACCGGCCGCTGGATCACTCGGGAGAGTGTGGGGGCGGCTAAAGCTGGGATCCGTGAGTCGGTGATGGAAAGACAGCTCTTCCCGGGAAGGCTGGATCGTAGGCAGTGAGACAAGACTCAGCTCAGTCAGACTCAGTGTTACAGCTCTTTATTCAATGGCTCTGCGTGGCTCCAAGTCTCAGTGTCCCAGCTCCTAGCTCCTAGTGATCCAGCTCCTTCAATTATTGAGGGGAATCAGGGAACTTTATACCGTGGGGGTAGTGGTAAAAGCTTCAGCTGATAGGTACTTTGGGGATGCGTCATTTGCGTGTGGAAATGGGCTCCCGCCAGGCTGCCAAACTGCTTGAAAATCACACAGGAAAGCCTAATAGTTACAGAGCCGGAGGCTACATTCCTGTGGCTGCTACTTCACAAAGGAGTCAGGAAAAATGCCGGGAAGGCACCCTGCTGTGAAAGGAGTCTCTGAGCTCGTGAGCTATCCGGACATGGAGAAACTTCTACTTTACACAACAGAGGTCCCCAACACTGCTCCAGGGATTTGATGCCCTCTTCCAATTTCCAAGGGTACCTCTACACATAGAGTATACATTCACACGGGTGCACTCACATACATGCAAGCAATGCACTCATACACATAAAATAAACATAAATAAAATATTTTAAAAAATATTGCTTGAGCCTTTTTAACAGGTTGTCCCATGGGAAAAAGAACACTGGAATAGGTTAGACTTTCTTGCTATAGCAAGCTCAAACTGATAAAAATAAAATCTTTTTAATATATATGCTTTGGGAAAGGTATAAAATACAGAAATTGGAGGGCCTGTAAATTACTGAAAGTACAATTTAGGTTTTTTTACTTAGCAGTTAATAAAAAAGTAATGGCTAAAGAAAATGAAAATTCATAAATGATCTGTAGTCTTTTTTAAAAAAAATTAGGGACTGGAGAGATGGCTCAGAGGTTAATAACACTGGTTGTTCTTGCAGAAGACCCAGGTTTGAATCCCAGCACCCACATGGCAGCTAACAATTTGTCCATAACTCCAGTTTCAGGGGGTCTGATGGCCTCCGTGGGCATTGCACAACATGGGTGCACTTATCTACATGCAGGCAATACACTCATACTTGACACTGTTTAAAATGATAAAGAGACTGACTCTTCTTGTAAATGGCCAGAGGTAACCTGTAAAAATGATTCACTGCTTGGTTGACTCAGAAAACCCCACAAAATCATGTAAATAAAGAGGTTCAGACTTTCAAATTCACTTTAAGAATACCCAGGAAACTGTTCAAGTCTTCAAGGACATGTGTATCTGAAAAGCCTTGAGTATGTGAAAGATACTACTTTAAAGAAGCACTGTGTGGTGTTCCTACAGGACAGTAGTGGAGTTGGTTGTGCACAGGTCAAACAGTGGGTCAGTAGTCCAAAAAGTGAGCTGAATTTTTACTGTACATGCTTAAAAATGAAAAGTAATACTGAACTTAGCAGTTTTGATACAGGTTCTCTGGCCATTGAATATGTCCAGGTAAGCATAACACCCATGAAGCACCTGGTACTTAGAAAGCTCATGGTCAGATTAACTCATACATGAACTCCCCTGGCACATAGAGATGATCCTTATTGAAAAGGAAGAAATTATTCCTAAGCCAGAATAGGTTTCACAGAAGAAAAAGATAACCCAGGGGGAAAAAAAACCAGAAGAAACATAAACTGTTGCCATGAGTAAATTCAGCATAAAGTAAATGTAAATACGTTTTTCTTTTTTAAAAAAAAAAAAAAAAAGAAGATGATCTCAAGAGATGGCCTAGTTTATAAGGTGCCTGCCACCCACAAGCCTGAGGACCTGAGCTCAAAGTTGAGTGTGGCAGTTTGTGTCTATAACCATAGGTCTGTGGTTGTGGAAACAGTCTGATCTCTGGACCTCACTGGCCAGCCAATCTAGTCAAATTGATGAGCTCCAGGTTCAGTGAGAGATCCCGTGTCAAAAAAAAAAGGTGGAGAACAACTGAGAAAGACACCTGACATCACCCTTTACCCTCTGTGCACACATGTACACATGTTCATGTACATGTGTACATATACATTATACATACACTAAAAAAAAAGAGATAAGGCAGTTGAATGTCGTGTGTGTGTGTGTGTAGCTACATGTTTATATTTTTCCTTTCTTATCCTAGAATGCTTGAAGAACCTTTGCTGGCTCCTCTTCAGCCACTTTCTTCTAACACACCTATATGGGCCTGTCGTCTTAGGAGTTGTGAGGTAAGTTAAGGAGCAGTGATGGTAGCTGGGAGGGGGAAACACAGTGTCTTACAGGGATGAGACTCACTGTGGGCCCAGTGGATGGACCCATACTGAAGGACATTTAGGGACACAAATCAGAGTCTGTAGGTCATATTATACATAAGAGTGTACATTAAATTGGATGGGGAGGCAGTAGGAAGAGGTGTGGGGAGGGTAGGGGATCTAAATACCATATTTTGTATGAAAATTGCAAAAATTCATGCCAGGCGTGGTGGCACACGCCTTTAATCCCAGCACTTGGGAGGCAGAGGCAGGCGGATCTCTGTGAGTTCAAGGCCAGCGTGGTCTACATAGTGAGTTCCAGGACAGCTGAAGCTACAGGGAGTCCCTGTCTTAAAAAGACGAACAAAAAGAAAATGCAAAAATTCAACTAAAAAACACTCAACCACATAAAAAAAAATTTTTTTTTTTTTGGCCTTTTTGAGACAGGGTCTCCCTGCAGCCCCAGCTGGCCTGGAACTCACTATGTAGACCAGGCAGGCCTCGAACTCACAGAGATCTGCCTACTTCTGCCTCCCAAGTGCTGGGACTACAGGCGTGCACCACCACGCCCAGCTAAAAAATAAAAATTTTTTAAAATTCAAAAAAAGTGACCAATTGACTGAACAATCTCTCCCAGCCTTTTCCCTTTCCAAGCTGTATAAGTAATTTTTAAAACTTTTTTTTTTTTTTGGTCTTTTCGAGACGGGGTCTCCCTGTAGCCCCAACTGGCCTAGAACTCCCTATGTAGACCAGGCTAGCCTTGAACTCTCTGATATCTGCCTGTCTCTGCCTCCTGAGTGCTGGGATTAAAGGTGTGTGCCACTATGCTTCATTATTTTATACTAATTCAGTTTTTCCTTTTATGACATATATTCTGCTCATTTTGTTTATATAAAAGCATTGCAAGCAGGGTATGCTAGTGCAGACCCTTAATCCCTGTACTTGGGAGGCACAGGCAGGTGGATTTCTGTGAGATCCAAGCAAGTTTAATCTACATAGCCAGTTCCAGGCCAGTTGAGGCTACAGCTACTCACTATGTAACCCAGGCTGACCTTGAACTCAGTATCTTTCTGCCTCTACCTTCTTAAGTCTGCAATTATAAGGTATGAATCACCATGCTTAGCAGTTTCCTCTTTTGAAATATAAAAATTGTTCCTTTACTATAAGGATATCCAAATGTCTGTGTATGTATTTTGTCAATTTATTTACATCTTGCCTTGTTTTAGGGCTGAATTTAAGACAGCTTACAAACATATGAAATAGCAAGGTGGGAATTACAAGCGAGAGCTAAGGGAGAAACCAGAATGGAATAATAAAGTTAAAGCTAGCAATTGTATCTCTTTTAAAAAAATATTTATTTTTATTTTTTTAATTTTTATTTTTTAAATTCTTTTGGTCTTTTTGAGACAGGGTCTCCTTGTAGCCCCAGCTGGCCTGGATTTGCTGTGGAGACCAGGCTGGCCTCAGAACTCCCAGAGATCCGCCTGCCTCTGTCTCCTGAGTGCTGAGATTAAAGGTGTGTGCCACCATGCCCAGCTATTATTTTATGTGTGTGAGTGTATTGCCTGAATATATGTAAGTGTACCTGTGTTGTACAATGCCCACAGAGGTCAGAAGAACGCATTGAATTCCTCTGGAACTGGAGTTATGGACTGGTTGTTAGTTGCCATGTGGGTGCTGGGAAATCAAACACGGGTCCTCTGCAAGAACAGCCAGTGTTCTTAACCATTAAGCTATCTCTCCAGCTCCCAGAAACTATATTTCTTAATAAATCATTTATATGTTTATGTATGTGCATACACACACCTGTAATCTATTATCTGCATTTCAAAAAAAACTTAGTTATTAAGTTCTATACCTATTAGATAAGAAGAATGGTGTCAAATTCCATAGCATGAAAGGAAACCAGGAATTTCTCTCAGGAAAGGATTTTCATATAAAGAGTATCGATACAGTGAGAAAATTCTTCAGCAACATTTTTATAGGACATATAATCACAGTTCCATAAGGTTTCAAATGGACTTTTGGCATCATATCAAAATCAACGTTAAGTTAATAGATGCCTCACAAAGAACCAACACTTTATGGCTAATTTTGTGCTGATTTGAATTTGATCTAGGAGTAGGATTTAAATATCTGAGAGAATGGATATGTTACATGTTCTTCAAGCTATCTTCTCTAAAGCTTATTTCTCTCAAGATTTTGGTAAAGATAGTGTGACAGTGAATTTGTCATTATATCCTCATATGCCTGGAAGATACATATTTGATGATCCTGTCTGAATTCAGATCAGACCCCACAGGTTGTATAGATGAGTGACCGGCAGGAATGAATGGCTTTTTCTTGTGAAAACTGATGATCTTTCATCTTAGACAACATCTCATTAAATTGTTCACTGAAGAACATTTGCCAATAATTTTCTTACTTAATTTTTACCTTGTACAGAAAATTGGAGATTCTTATCGTGGCTACTGTGTAAGTGAGACTGAATTAGAAAGTATCCTAACATTTCACAAGCAGCAAACACAGAGTGTTTGGGGAACACGCCAGTCTCCAAGCCCAGCCAAACCTGCTACACGCTTAATGTGGAAGTCCCAGTATGTCCCATATGATGGAATCCCATTTGTCAATGCAGGTACTTCTTTAATGGATTATTAAAAAAATTCTTCAGCAGCTGTAATCCATTGTGAAAATATGATTTTCCTGAGGTGATACATTTTCATTTTGATAAATGAGAACTGAATATTAGTTGCTGAAAATGAATATTTAAAAACTTAGGAAAAATAACCAATTATATTATGTAATAAAAGCACATTTTCATATATCACAGTGAATAAATAATGCTTCATTTATATATAATGCTTATAAATAGAAATTTAAATTTTTGAAATTCCAAGTAGACCCATAGACAACATCACGTACTCAAACAGTAATTCTTTATGATCACACTAAGAGAAAGAAAGAGCTTCTATAGATGGATAAATAGCTAGCTAGCTAGATAGCTAGATATAAGACCTCACATTGTTTAGATCAGGTTTTGTAGACAAATGAGTTCCAAAAATAACTTAGTTTTCTGAGCTTTGTCAGTTTCAGATTTGCTAATAAAAGATTAATGAACTATTTTCATGCCTATCATCAATGTTAGAAATTTCTCTTTTCTACATTCAACTTATTCAACCCATGACTTAGTGTTTCCAGACTTTCAAAAACATTGACACTATGTAAATTTTTGTGTGTGTAAAAATGGAGGTAGTAATATAAAAAAAAAAGCTCCTTGTCGTGGAGCTTCAACAACTGTCATCTCTTTGTCACACACACATGACAGCCCATCAGCACACTTTAAAAGAATCAATAGTAGTTTCCTAATGTTATAAAATGTCCAGTGTTTATGCTTTCCCACTCACCTCACAGATTTTGACCCCATAGGCTTTTTCAAAGTCTGAATTACTCAATGTCCAAAGACTGCATTTGGCTAATATATCTAATTTGTCTCTTAAATTTCTTTCCATCTAAAAGTTTCTTCCCTCTTTACCCCTGGGTAGTTTGTCTTTAGAGTTTTCCATATTCTGGATTTTTCAGATTTCTTTCTGTGGTGTAGTTTAACATCTTTTATTACCTGTATTTGCTATAACTGTTAGCTAGATCTAGAGCCTTAATTAAATGAGGGTTTGATTTCTATTAGAATGCCTTAAGTCATTGTGTACTTTATTTTGTTTTTCTTTATTTATGGGAATCAGTTGCATTGTTGGGTGTGTGTATGTGTGTGTGTGTGTGTGTGTGTGTGTGTGTGTGTTTTTGTTTGTATGAGTGTATTGCCTTGCATGTATGTGAGTGCACATGTGGGTGCTGGGAATTGAACCCAGGTCCCTCTGCAAGAGCAGCCTGTGCTCTTAACCACTGAGCCATCTCTCCAGCTCCCCGTTGTTGGGTTTTTTAAATATTTTTTTTTTTGGTCTTTTTGAGACAAGGTCTCCCTATAACTCCAACTGGCCTGGAACTCACGATGTAGACCAGGCTGGCCTCGAACTCACAGAGATCCACCTGCCTCTGCCCTCCTGAGTGCTGGGATTAAAGGCATGTGCCACCATGCCTGGCTTTTAAAATGTTTTTATGTATATGAATGTTTTGCCTGTACATATGTAAGTGTACCACATGAGTACCTGGTGTCTGAAGGCCAGAAGAGGGCCTTCTCCATAGAACTGGAGTTAAAGACAGGTATGAGCCACCATATGGGTGCTGGGAGTCGAACCATGTTCCTCCACAAGAGTAATAAGTTCTCTTAACTGCTAAGCCATCTCTCCAGCCCCATCACCTGTTTTTTAAAAATATTTTTAATATTGTTGAACATTTTAATTTTTCCAATCTGAAGAATGGGATATTTTTGTTCGTTTATTTTTGTTGGTTTTTTTTTTTTTTTTTTGAGACAAGGTTTCACTGTGCAGCCTTGCTTGCTTTGGAACTTGCTCAGGCTGGCCTGAAGCTCACAGAGATCCACCTACCTCTCCCTCAGCTAGTGCTTGGATAAAAGGTATGTACAACTATGCTGGCCATGAAATTTTTTTTTTTTACTGTTATTTTAATTTAAATTTCCTTGACTGTTAGTGACAGTAAACATCTTTTCACTTGTTCATTTACTATCATTTATTTTTTAATTTCCAAGTCACAGCCTTCAACCAGTTTTGGATTTTTTGTTTGTTTGTTTGAGACAGGGTCTCACTGTGTAGCCCCAGCTGGTCTGGAATTTACCATGTAAATCAGGCTGGCCTCAGACTCATAGGGAACCACTTGCCTCTGCCTCCTGAGTATTGGGATTAAGGCACGTGCCACCACGCCTGGCTCTGCACCCCATTTAAAAAAATATTTTATTTATTATTATTTTTATTTTATGAGTATGCGTGTATTGCCTGCATGTAGGTAAGTGCACCGGTGTCATGCAATGCCAACGGAGGACCGAAGAGGCTGTCAGATCCCCTGGAACTGGAGTTATGGACAGTTGTTAGCTCCCATGTGGGTGCTGGAATTGAACCCAGGTCTTCTGCAAGAACAGTCGGTGTTCTTAACCACTGACCAATCTCTCTAGCCCTGCACCCCATTTTATATTTGGTTGTTTTATTATTGTCTTTAAGTTTTAAAAAGGATTTCTGTTTTTTTATTATTCTCAAAGTAATTCTCAGTTCTATTATAATTATAATAAAATTCTATTTCTCAACCTGTTGTTTTTCTTCTACTATTATTTATGGTATTCTTTAAACAAAAGTCTTAAATTTTTTTTTTTTTTCAGAGCTGAGGACCAAACCCAGGGCCTTGTGCTTGTTAGGCAAGCACTCTACCACTGAGCTAAATCCCCAACCCCTAAAAGTCTTAAATTTTAATGTCAACTTTATCAACATTTTTTACTCATGATTGGAAAATTTTATTTGCTATATTAAAAGTTTGCTGTGTCCTGCAAGTAGAATGTTCAACTCTTCCACTGCATGGTTTTCACATCTATTTATTTGCATTAGCTACTGTGATGTAACAAATTATTTCAACTCAAAGACTGAGAACTACAAACATTGACTATCTCAGAGTTTCTGAGGACCAGAAATCCAAGTGCTGATTAACAAGATGGCTTTGCCTTGGGTTCTCTCACAGACTGAAGTCACTGTGTTGACTGCAGTTGCATTCGTCTTAGGCCTTCTTGGGAGAAGAGCGGCTCCAATCTCGTGGGTATGGTGGTCAGCAGGCCTTATACCTTGCTATGTTGGGCCTTTGTATACTCCTTCACTACATGGCAACTTACATCACCAAGAGACAGCAACCCAAGCAAGAGCAAGAAAGTACCCAAGATGGAAGTTATTCTTTTATAACCAGTTATCAAAAAAACCCATCTTGTCACTTCTGCCATATTTACTAAGAAGTAAGTTGATAAATACAGCCATGCTCAAGGGGAGCAGATTGCACAAGGAATGCTAAGTAAAAGGGGTTACTGGTGCCATCTTCAGAGGCTGTTTACCATGTTATTCTAACGAGTCAAATAGAAGTAGGAAATTAAGTAATTTTAAAAAGGAAATAAGATTTTAAATAGTATAACTATTAACCAAATGTAACATTTGCTAATTTATACTAGTGTTTACATTTAGTAAATTCATGTGTATGCATTATAGTAAGACATGCTGTTTTCTTTCCGTAAACTTCTGTATTAATGTTATAGACTTTGAAATTGCTATCACCAAGTTTTTTAATCTGTCTAGATATATAGATACTTGAATTATGATCATTAGGGTGTTTTTTTTTTTGATTCATAGGGAGTCGAGCTGTAGTAATGGAGTGTCAGTATGGGCCCAGGAGAAAAGGATTCCAGTTAAAAAAGATCAGTGAACAAGAAAGTAGATCTTGTCACTTCTACAAAGCTACTTGTCCAGCCAGGTAAGCTTTATTTCTTTTACTTTTTTTTTTTTTTTTTTTTTTTTTTTTTTTTTTTTGAAACAGGGTCTCCCTGTAGCCCCAGCTAGCCTAGAACTCACTATGTAGACCGGCTAGCCTTGAACTCACAGTGATCCACTTGCCTCTGCTTCCTGAGTGCTAGGATTAAAGGTGTGTGCTACACACCTGGCTAAATTCTTATTTTTGAATAGCAAATAGGAGCATTTTTATTAAGTTTAAACAGTTCAAAATATACAGTAAATTATTTTATTCTCTCACTTCTCTTCCCTATGTCCCTTATTAGGATCACAACTCTTAACAGTTTCTTGAATCATCTTACAAAGATACTTTGTGTGTGAAAAAGTACATACACACACACACGCATCTTCTTATAACCCATAAAGGTGTCAGTAAAGCCCATTAATATTTTCTTTCCTCAGAATTAAGTAATAGCACTCCCTCTTTGACCATATTCAGATGCCTTGCTTCATCTCCAGTCTCACCCTGCCCCATCTTCATGTCCTCTGTTTCTACTTGTCTTTTTAAAAAGACCTATTGTGTCTAACCTGTGTTTCCCAAGTACTCTTGGGTGTGTACCTATCCTTTGGAGTCTGGTCAACCTATCATACATCACACCAGTAAAGAAAACTGATTCTTAGCTGCTGCATCTAGAGATGAACACTTTTAAATATTGTATTTATTATTTTTATATTTTATGTGTACGAGTGTATTGCCTGCATGTATGTGAGTGTGCCTATGTTGTGCAATGCTGCGGAGGTCAGAAGAGGGCTTCAGATTCCCCTGGAACTGGAGTTAAGGACAGTTTTTGCTGCCATGTGGGTGCTGGGAATCGAGCCCGGGTCCTCTGTAAGAGCAGTCAGCGCTCTTAACTGCTGAGCCATCTCTCCAGCCCCAATTTATTCTTAATCTTAAAGCCTATGGTGTTAAAAATATTACTGCACAGATATCATTTTACATACTAGTGTGAATAGAATGACATACACCATTGTATACTCTGCTTTTTTTATTCCTAGTACATCTCTAAACTAACTCCATATAGGTTTATGAGTATTCTTTAAGTAGTTATATATTTAATTTGTGAGCATAATATTGAATTAATCCTCTACTGAAAGATATATAAGCTATGAAAAAATTGTTGTTTTAATATTTTATTTATTATTTTTATTTTATGTGTATGAGTATATTGCTTGCATGAATGCACTCATGTTGTACAATGCCCACAGAGGTCAGATGAGGATGTCGGATCCCCTGGAACTGAAGTAACAGACAGTTGTTAGCTGTCATGTGGGTGCTAGAACCAAACCAGGTCCTCTCTAAGAACAGCCAGCCAGTGCTTTTAACTGCAGAGTCATCTCTCCAGGCCCATGGGTTTTTTGTTGTTTTTTGTTTTTTTTTAAACTAGGATCTCATGTCACCCAGTGTGGCCTTAAGTTCATTATGTAGCCAGGGATAGCCTTGAATTCCTTATCCTCCTGCTGCCGCCTCCTTAGTGCTAGGATTGCAGATGTGCAATAAAATGCCTGATGACAAAAAATTATATTCAAAACTACAATTATAGCATTGTACACTTATGCAAGCTTATTAATAGGATAAATACCTAGAATGATGATTAGTAGGGAAAAAGTTATATACTTTTTTCTTCTGTATATGAATATATTACCTGTATGTATGTTAGTGCACTTGTGTGGAGGCCAGAAGAAGCTGTTGGTAACTGGAGTTAAGATGGTTGCTAGCTGCCTTGTAGGTGCTGGGAATGGAGCCCAGGTCCTCTGCAAGAGCAGCCAGTGCTTTTAACCGCTGAACTATCTCTCCAGCCCCAAGTTATGTACTTTTTAAATGTTGAAAAAATAATGAAAATTTGCTTTTTTAAAAGAGATTTTACCAGTTTACATTCACACCAACAATTTATAAAAACCAATAGTAATTTTTTTTTTTTTTTTGTCTTTTTGAGACAGGGTCTCCCTGTAGCTCCAGCTGTCCCGGAACTCACTATGTAGACGAGGCTGGCCTCCAACTCACAAAGATCCGCCTGCCTCTGCCTCCCAAGTGCTGGGATTAAAGGCCTGTGCCACCATGCCTGGCTTCCAATAGTAATTTTTAGGTAGGAGGACTAAGTGGTTGTAATTGCTCTGGGTAAGAATAAAAAATGTGAACCAATGAAATATTTTCTTAATGTTCTGTACTAATACTCTTTTAGACTGTGAAAATATTCAAAATTATTAGTAAATTGAAAAAATATAAAGGTGTTATAAACTGGAGATGGGAAGTAACTCAGTGACACAGTGCTTGCCTAGCATGCACAAAGTCCTAAGGGTCAGTTCCCAGCATGTCAGACAAAAAAAAAGTAGTATGAGCTGAAGAGGTGACTCATGCCTATAGTCCCATCTGTTTGGAAGGTTAAGGTGGGAGGATCATTTGAACCCAGAAGTTCTAGTTCAATCTGAGCAACAAGGACCCTGTGTCAAACAAAACAAAGATAATATGTTATGGTTGGACTTAAAATACAATTGAAACATTGTATTTTAGCATCATACATATCATAAACTTTAGGATTCTCATGTATTAAAAGGCTGGCAGGGAGACACACACCTAAAATCCCAACACGCAGGAGGTAGAGACACAAAGATTTGGGAGTTTGAGGCCAGCCTCAGATGCTTAGTAAATTAGAGGCTGGCTTGGGCTTCATGAGACCCCCCTCTCAAAACAACAAAACCACAACAGAAGAAACTTTAAAAGCCTGTTCAGAGGCTTTTCACATTGAATTTGGGAATGTTTACATTAGGGTTATCTAAATCTGAACATGAGACAAACTTTCAACTGCTTTCTAAATATAAGCAAGATAAAATGTTTCATCTCCTGTGGCAGAAAACCTCTATATATTAATAAATAAGGCAGCAGGATGACTCGGTTGATAATGGCACTTGCTACCAAGCCTAATGACTTGAGTTTGATCCCTAAGTTGTCTTCTGACCTAAACATACATAAACAGATATAATTTTATTTTCCATAATTTTATAAGTATGTTCTAGTTTGGGCTCTGTTTTATTTGAGACAGTTTTGTTATGTAGTCCAGGCTACCCTCAAACTTGCTATCCTCCTCCCCAGCTTTACAATTGCAAAGATTATGGGTATGTGACACTGTACCTGGTTAGAAGCACTTTGAATATTTTTTTTCTGTGTCCCAAAACCATTATGAGTGCTATAGAAGGGAGGAAGACCAAAAGAAGAATAAGATTTTACTTAATCCCAGGCTATTCAAAATATAGAGTAGACCTGAAATAGAACTACTGCTGAACATGAAAGTATAGTATATAGTATGAAATGTGTAGGTTAGCTACTTACTGTAAATATTCTGAAAGTGAACATATCCATGTTAACTAATAGCAAGAAAGAAAATTCAGTTTAACCTTTGTGCTAGGGCTGGAGAGATGGCTCAGTAGTTAAGGACATGAACTGTACTTGCAGAAGACCAGAGATGGGTTCCCAGCACCCACAAAATGTGGCTCACAGCTGCTTGTAACTCCAGCTCCAGGATATCCAAAGCCCTTTTCTGGCCTCCTTGGGCACCTACACACACATGGCATATTCACACACATACACAGACACTCACATGCACATACATCTAAATAAAAATAAAATAAATATTAAAAAAATAATGTAGGGTCGGGCTTGGTGGTGCACACCTTTAATCCCAGCACTTGGGAGGCAGAGGCAGGCAGATCTCTGTGAGTTCAAGGCCAGCCTGGTCTGCATAGTGAGGTCCAGGACAGCTGGGGCTACAGGGAGACCCTGCTTCAAAAAGACCAAAAAAAAAAGTAAAAAAATAATGTATATGGTGACTTTGAGTACACAGAGGGGTGATGTTAGAGTCTGGGAGAACCATATAATTAAAGATACGAAACAATATGATATTAGAAGAAGATGGGAAATTGAGAAGATGAACTACAAAGTAAAAGAAGTTTCACATTTGAAGTAGTAGTAAGATTAGTTTAGAATCTTTATGGGATGGGCTGGCGAGATGGTTCAGTGGGTGAAGACTCCTGCTGCCAAGCCTGGTAACCTGAGTTGGATTCCAGGACCCATGTTGATTTTTGACCTCCACACATGCACTGTGCCATGTGTGTACCCTCCCCCATACAGACATGAAAATTTAAATTAAAATTTAATAAAAATACTTAAGAATCTCATGAGATGTATGGAATGCTGTCAAGAAATTTGTGCTTGATTAGAAATACAGGCAGATTCTCCAACAGAGGGATATGTGAAGAGTTACTGTGTCATTAAACCATCAAATGAATTTAAATAATGAAAAAGGAAAGAAGCCTGGAAAAAGTTTGTTAACATAACCCAGATATGAGGTAATTATGGCTTCCAGAAGAATAAAGAGACAAATTTATAAAAATTTTTGAGTCAAGTATGGTGGTGCACTTGGAAGGCAGAAGCAGTGGGATCTCTGTGAACTTAAGGTCAGCTTGTTCTACATAGTAAGTCCAAGACCAGCGAGGGCTACTACAGGGAGACCCTGTCTCAAAACAACCAAAAATATTACCTATATTTAAATATTTATACTCAATTCATGATTAATGTTGATTTTCTAAATATTATGTACTTCATATGACATCTTTCATAAGCCTCTGAATAAAAAAAATATTCTCCCAACTTTTATGCTTAAACTTTTTGAGATGGGGTCTCCCTGTAACCCCAGCTGGCTTGGAACTCACTATGTAGACCAGGCTGGCCTTGAACTCACAGAGATCCACCTGCCTCTGCCTCCCAAGTGCTGGGATTAAAGGCCGGTGCTACCATGCCTGGCTTATGCTTGATTGATGTTATATTTTTCTTGACATTATAATAAACAATTTCTTCTTTATCTTGTATGAAGGATTTACATAAAAAAGGTACAGAAGTTTCCTGAATATAGAGTACCTACAGACCCCAAAATTGACAAGAAAATAATCAGAATGGAACAGGAGAAAGCTTTTAACATGCTAAAGAAGAACTTGGTGGATGCTGGTGGTGTTCTTTGGTATGGCTTTATCTAATTCTTTTATTTTATGATCAGCATCATTTGCAAGGATTCTTATTTTTTTGGTTTTTTGAAACAGGATCTCCCTGTATCCACCAGCAGGCCTGGAACTCATTATGTAGACCACACTGGCCTTGATCTCGCAGAGATCTGCCTGCCTTTGCCTTCTCAGAGTTGGGACTAAAGGTGTGTGGCCACCCTGCCCGGCTAAGGACTTTTATTTTAAGAGAAATTATATTTTTTAATTATCTCATTAGCAAATGGTTTTATATTAAATATCTCACTCGTATTAAACTTGTTTGCTGTTGTGTATGCTAGTGACTTTATTACCTAAAGATTGAAGATAATTCTAATCAAAGAATTATACCATACATCTTTGATTACTATGAAAGCCATAAATAAATTCTAAGCCCTAAATAAAATTCCATTTTATGCTTCATGTTTCAAATAGGAAGAACTATTATATTTCTTACTTACTTTCCACTATGTGTTAGTCACAGTAAAGAATTTATTACTGTACAATAAGCAAAATAGTTTTTATGATCTCTAATAAAAAAACTTTTCCATATAAAAATTCATGGTGTCAGCTGGGCGTGGTGGTGCACACCTGTAGTCCTAGCACTTGGGAGGCAGAGGCAGGCAGATCTCTTTGAGTTCAAGGCCAGCCTGCTCTACATAGTGAGTTCCAGGACAGCTGGGGATACATGGAAACCCTGCTTCAAAAAGACAAAGAAAAAAAAAATTAATGATGTCAGTAATTAGATCCCTCAATTTTGAAAACTTCTGTACTGTATAATTTTTAATCAAGTTCTGTTTTGTTTTCTATTAGTTTTAAGAAGTACAGGAGGCCTGTAAGATGGCTCAATGGTTAAAGGTACTTGCCACCAAGCCTCAGGACTTAATTTCAATTCCCACGGCCCACATGATGGATGAAAAGAACTGACTCCAGCATGTTGTCATCTGGCCTCCACAAACATGCTGTGGCATACACACACACACACACACACACACACACACACACACACACACAATAAATGTAAACATTTTTAAAGAAGTACAGGGCAGGGTATGTATCTCAGTAGTAGAGCATTTGCCTAGCCAAATGCAAGGCCCAAGGTTCATTACTCAGCACCACACACACGGTTTGTATAAAATATTAATAAAATAGTTCCCCATCAGATTGATTTCCCTAGCATCTGTTTCTTGTACTGTGTCCAAGAGACATGTTTTCACATTTCAGTTGATTCTCTTGCTCACTAGGCCAACAGGATCAGGGAATGCTCTAGAGGCAGTCTTTTGAACTTCTGTGAAGGAACAATCTCCCATGCAGCTCAATTTTAGCAGGCTCCGAATTGTAATCTACCCTGGATGGAAGGTGGTATGCACATCATGGTAGCGTAATAGAGGACTAGTGTTTGATGAACAGGAAATACACAATTCAAAAGTTGATGATTTATATCATTGTGCTCTTATTTTGAAGTAAAATTTACTTATGATATTTAAAATAACATTTTTGTATATATTTAAAATCCCTGTGTGGCCCTCAACTTTAGGATCATAATGAAAGTTTACAAAGATATTTATTTGAGTACAAAGTCAATCTTAGAAGAGTTGAGCATAAGACATTTTAAATTTTGTTCCAATGCCATAATCATGGGATTATTGTCTTAAAAGATTATTTCTTCTCTTAATGAATATTAACCTAAGTAATTATGTTCCTGCCTTTGTTTAATATTATCAAAGAATTTTAGTATTTGTATTTTAATAACTGGATATTTTCTCTTATCAGGTGGTATGTACAATTACCTACACAGCAAGCTCATCAGTATCATGAGTTAGAGACTCCTTGCCTCCCTTTATCTCCTTCCCCCTTTCCAACATCTTCTCTTGAAGAAGAAGAAACTGTTGTCAGAGATGAGAATTGTGCATTGCCCTCACGTCTCCATCCTCAAGTAGCACATAAGATTCAAGAATTAGTATTGCAGGGAATAGAACAAGTGTATGCAGTAAGGAAACAGCTAAGGTACAGTAGAAGCAAAGTTTTCTTTGACACATCTTTTAAATAATACACTAAATATAATGGGCATTTTATAGGTATTTTTCAGGACATATACTATCAGAGGAATATAATTTGTTTCTTAATCTCATTCATAACATTTTTTAGCAAATGCTTAGGAAGCTTTAGTATAGTATGCTTTAATATAATATTCTAAATCATCATTTGAGACACTATGTCATTTGCATATTGGACTATTTCTTTTTATATTTTTAAAAATTATGTATATGAGTGTATTGCCTGCATGTATGTAAGTGCATCCATGTCGAGTAATGCCCAAAGAGGTGAGAAGAGGGTTTCAGATCCCCTGGAACTGGAGTTATTGATGGTTGTTAGCTGCCATGTGCATGCTGGGAATCAAACTTGGGTCCTCTACAAGAGCAGCCAGTGCTCTTTTATTTTTTTAATTAATTATTTATTTTTATTTTATGTGTATAAGTGTTTTGCCTCCATGTGTGTAAGTGCACTGTCATGAAAAGCTAATGGAGGCCAGAAGAGGGCACTGGATCCCCTGGAACTGGAGTTATAGATAGTTGTTAGCTACTATGTGGGTGCTGGAAACTAAACCCGGGTTCTATGGAAGAGCAACCAGTCCTCTTAACCACTAACCCATCTCTCCAGTTACCATAGCCAATACTCTTAACTGCTGAACTGTCTCTCTAGTTCCCACATTGGACTAGTTCTTTTTAAAAATATTTTATTATTTTTATTTTATGTGTGTAAGTATATTGCCTACATGTGTGTAAGTGCATCCGTATCATGCAATTCCTGCAGAGGTCAGAAGGCGTCGGATTCCCTGGAAGTGGAGTTACCAACAGCTGTTAGTTGCCATGTGGGTCCTGGGAATTGAACCTGGGTCCTCTGCAAGAGTAGTCAGTGTTCTTAACTACTGAGCCATCTCTCCAGCCCACACATTGGACTATTTCTAAATTCTATGAATGAATTTAATTTTCCTTTCTAGCTAGGGTTTCACATTGTAACCCAGAGTGTAATGAAAGTCATTATGAAACCCAGACTGGCCTCAAATTTGCAGCAGTTTTCCAACCTCAGCCTCCCAAGTGTTGGGGTTGTAGGTGTGAGCCACTATGTCTACAGTGAATTGAATTGCATAGTAAGTATCATTAGAGAAAAAGAAAGATCTTGTAGAATCAAAAGAAATGTTTACATTTTTTTAAAAAGAGAAAGTTGTCTGTGTGTGTGTGTGTGTGTGCCTATATGTATATATGTGCACCACATGTGTGCCTGGTTTCAAAAAGGGGCATCAGATCCAGATCTGGAGTTAAGGATGGTTGTTAGCCACAATGTGGGTGCTGAGAACCAAGCCTGGGTCCTCTGCAAGAGTAGCAAGTGCTCTTAACCACTGAGCCATTTCTCCAGACCCAGAATCAAAACTTTTTAAAAGTTTTATTTATTATTTTTATTTTATGTGTGTGTATTGCCTGCATGTAGGTAAGTGCACCCGTGTCTTGCAGTGCCCACAGAGGTCAAAAGAGGCTGTTGGATTCCCTGGGACTGGAGTTACGGACAGTTGTTAGCTGCCATGTGGGTGCTGGGATTTGAACCTGGGTCTTCTGCAAGAACAACCAGTGTTCTTAACCACTGAGCCATCTCTCCAGCGCCCAGAATCAAATTTTTTTTTTAATGTGTATGAGTGTATTGCCCGCATGTATGTGAGTGCACCTGTATTGTGCAATGCCACGGAGGTCAGAAGAGGGCTTTGGATTCTCCTGGAACTGGAGTTAAGGATGGTTCGTAGCCACCATGTGAGTGCTGAGAATCAAACCCAGGTTCTCTGCAAGAGCAGTCAGTGCCCTTACCACTGAGCCATCTCTCCATCCCCAGAACCAAAAATTTTAAAAGCTAGACTAAGGTAGTTATTTCAGAGTATTTAAAATGCAATATAAATTTTATTATAATATAATTCAATAATGAATATGATCAGAATATATTATGTATATGTATGAGATTCTAAAAAATAATAAAATATATTTTTAAAAAAGGTATTTACTATACTAATATATGATATTGTATACAATTCTGTTTATATGTTATATGTTGTTCCAATGATAATTAAACAAATTATTATCTTCTTTTGATCTTTTTGAGACATGGTCTCCCTATAGTCCCAGGTGGCCTGGAACTCACTAGATAGATGAGGCTGGCCTTGAATTCACAGCGATCCCCCTGTGTCTGCCTCCCGAGTGCTGGGATTAAAGGCAGGCACCACAACAAATTATTATCTTGAGTATCATTAAAGCTAGCCCAAAGTACAACAGATAAAATTTCATTAGACAAATAACTATCCAGATTAACTACAATAGTAATTATTATAGTAAGGCAATGTTTGTGCCATGTATTGTGCCATACATTGATATATATCATCTTACAACAGCTGAGCCTAATTGTACAGCCTGTACATACTGCTGTGATACTCTGCTCCTACTGGCTACTGTGTAGTGAAATCTGAACAACAAAATGAGTACTTCTAAGGATTACTTCTGTTTTGGATGGGGGTAAGAGGTTGAGACAGGGTCTCACTGTGGAGCACTGACTGGTCTGGAACTCACTGTGTAAACCATGCTAGCCATGAACTCATAGAAATCCACCTACCTCTGTCTCCAAGGGCTGGGATTAAAGGCATGTGCCACCATGCCCAGCCTAAGAATTACTTCTTAATTACCATGTGAACTTTCAATTAGAAGCTTTTGGACATTTGTTTTCATTGAATCTAGAACAAGGCCAAACTTAGCAAAGCCATTTACTGTTTAATAAAACTGGACCAGCATACTTATTTCAAACTATTTGAAAAGAGGTTCAGTGAGACTGAAAAATAATACAACTCTGCAGTTAGATCTGTTGTGTGTCATTCATAGAGCACATGTATAAACTGATTTATATCACAAGAATATCAAACATATCAAATTTCATGTAATATTGATGGCATTTGGAAGCAGTATAACAAGATGTTTATACATATAAGTTGGAAATAGGTTGGTGCTTTCTTATTTATTAGGTAGATGTATTACTTAGGGCAGATTTAGTTTCTGCAGTCTTCAGTTCCCTCATTTGTAAAGTAGGAATGATAATTATACCTGGTGACATGATCACGGTAATAGTTAAAGGAAATACTTGAAATGTGCAAGATTGTATCAGACATAGTAAGCACTGAAAAATGTTACTGTGCTTAAACTGAGGCTTGTGGTTCCTTTAAGTTAATTCACAAAAATGTCAAAGCTCTAATATGTGTGCTTTAAACAAATGAAAATATTACGTTTCTTTAACCTGTATGAATTCTATGCTTTAGTAAACAGGAAAAAAAAAGTGGCTAATATAAATTACTTACAGAAGCATAAGTGTACCATTACATTTTTTTATTTTATATTCTCCACAGAAAATTTGTGGAAAGAGAACTTTTCAAACCTGATGAGATACCTGAAAGACATAACTTATCTTTTTTTCCAACTGTAAATGATATAAAAAACCATATTCATGAGGTACAGAAATCCTTGAGGACTGGAGATGTGGTATATAACTCAGAGATTATTCCAGCAACGGTATGAATACAACCTCACGTCTTTGTTTTATTAGTGAATTTTCTCAGCTTCTATTAATAGTTGGCCTAATAGGGCTACCATTGGGCTATCCCAATTACTATGATATAAGAAAACAAACTAGGTATTTTTCTAAAGTATAAATTCTATGAGCTCTCAGATATAATTTGACTGAAATTTTTTAAAATTTATTTTATGTATATGAATGTATTGCCTGCATGTATGTAAGTGTACCTTTGTTGTACAATGCCCACAGAGGACAAAAGAGGGCATTAGATCCCCTGGAACTGAAGTTACAGATGGTTGTTAGCTGCCATGTGGGTCCTGGAATTCAAACCCAGGTCTTTTGCAAAATCAAACAGTGCCTTTAACCACTGAGCCATTTGAATATTTTTTATTATTCTCATAAGGGTGAAAAACAGTGGATTTCATGCCGGGCATGGTAGCACACGCCTTTAATCCCAGCACTCAGGAGGCAGGAGCATGTGGATCTCTGTGAGTTCAAGGCCAGCCTGGTCTACATAGTGAGTTCCAGGACAGCTGGGGCTACAGGAAGACCCTGTCTCAAAAAGACCAAAAAACAAACAACAACTAAAAAAAAGTGGATTTCCAAATCTGAGTATAACAGAAAAATCATTATCTTTTTCTCTACAAGAATTATTTCTTATTCAGTGTATAGGCATTGAGTATATACTGTGTATATCCCTGACCCCCAATCCCATTTAAAAATAGATGGTCAAGGTTAAGTGGTTCAGACTTGAATGCACAGTGCCAGTGTTACCTCTTTGTGCCAATTATGAATATCAAAGTTTACCTCATTCTTTAAAGTTTTTGTTTATTTTGAGACAGGGTCTCCCTATAGTCCCAGCTGGCCTGGAATTTGCAGTGTAGACCAGGCTAGATTCATTCCCACAGATCTGCTTGCCTCTGCCTCCTGATTGCTGGGATTAAAGGTGTGTGTCACCACGCTTGGCTACCTCATACTTTGATATTGGGCTTTCCCCATCAATGTTAGTAATTTCTAAGAAAATTTATTATAATTATCTAGAAATTAGTAATTATAATAGAGGCAGCAATTGTTGTATTAAAATCTGAGTAACATTAATCTTTACCTGCCTAACTTTTTACTGTCCAAATTAGGTAACTGAATAAATTTGGATTTGATGGCTGTCTTTTGTATCCAAACCCTTAATTATTTACTGTCCAAAATTCAAGAGTAAGAAGATTGGGTTAGCAGTGATACTTGCCTTCTATACTTCCTATCCAAATTCTTGATATCTGAATTCAAGGATCCCAATGTATTTGGACATTGAGACATACTTGTGCTTTGAGAATATAAGCAAGTAAAAGAGTGACTATAGAACAAAGCAAAGAATGGTATAAAAATAAAATATGGGGCTGGAGAGAGACCTCAGTCATTGAGGTGCTTGCTTGACAAACATGAGGACCTGAGTGTGATCCCCAGAACTCACATAAAAATGCTGCATGTGTTGGGACTGGAGAGGTGGCTCAGTGGTTCAGAGCACTTTACTCCTCTTCAAAGGACCCACTCGGCAACTCACAGCCATCCATAACTCCATTTCCAGAGGATCCAACACCCTCTTCTGGCCTCTGTAGGCACCAGGCACATATGTGGTGCACATGCATACATGAAAGCAAAAACACTCATACACATAAAATAAAATAAAATAAGTAAATCTTTTTTTTTTAATGCTGAATGTGGAAGCACTGGCCTCCATATGCATACACACACACACACACACACACACACACACACACACACGCACACACACACACACAAAATGGGGCTGGCAAAATGACTCAGCTGGTGAAGTCATGAGCCACCTACCTGACTTTGATTCCCCAGAACTTACATGGTAGGAGAGAACTCTGACTCCCAAAAGTTGCTCTGATCTCTACATGTGTGCCATGGCACATATGTATACACACATATATACAAAATGAATAAATAAATGTAAAAGAAAGTATCATATTTGTATATTTTAAGATAAGTGTTTTCAGATGATTTTCAATATAGTTACTTTACTTTTATTGAAACAAATGTTTCCATTTCAGCTTCAGTGGACTACAGATAGTGGGAATATTCTCAGAGAGACTGTGACAGTTACATTTGCAGAAGGTAGGTTATCTTGAAAAGTTTTATAACATAAAGATCATGCAATGTAACTGGATGTGGTAGCACATGTCTTTCTGTAATCCCAGTACTTGGGAGGCAGAGGCAGGCGGGATCTCTGTGGGTTCAAGGCCAGCCTGGTCTACATAGAGAGTTCCAGACCAGCTGGGGCTCTGCCTCCCCAGTGCTGGTATTAAAGGCGTGTGCCACCACGACCCAATATGTGAAATATTTTTTATCTTCTATTTGTTAACCTCTAAATTAACTTCATCTCTAACTTTAGCTCCTTTCAAACTCTTCATTGATCTATTTATTTTAGATGCAATTAAGTTGCTGTGCTAAGTGCTGGGAATAGAAAAGAATGAATTAGTTTCCTACTTAATGGATATTATGAAAAGTGTCATACAGGAGTTGTTCAATTATGTAAAAACTATGATAGAGACATAAGAAAGATGAGGGAATGGGAGAATTATGCTTGAAAATGTTGCTTTTTTAAACGAGAACTGAAGTGAGTTTTTTTTTAAATTTTTAAATTTTTATTATTTTTATTTTATGTGTATGAGTGTATTGCGTGCGTGTGTGTGAGTGCACCTATGTCATGCAGTGCCGCAGAGGTCAGAAGAGGGCATCAGATTCCCCTGGAACTGGAGTTAAGGACAGTTTGTAGCCGCCATGTGGGTGCAGGGAATCAAACCCGGGTCCTCTGCAAGAGCAGTCAGTGCTCTTAACTGCTGAGCCATCTCTCCAGCCTGAAGTGGGATTTTCTAATCAAAGGAATGGCATGTGTGAAAGGCAAGCAAAATGAATTTGTCTTGTTTAAGAAAGTTAAGAAGGCTGATATGGGTTTAGTATAGAAAATGCTTGGAATTAAAACTGGATTAACAAAACAATTCTAAGAGACCACTTTACTGCACCAAGGAAAAAGATGATAGTGGTTTAGGCTGCAGTTGGTGATATATGTTGTAATAGTAGACACATTTAAGAGTTTGTGAATTGAATAGATTTTCACACATCTAGAGAAGTTTATGTGTCATCCCTAGCATTATAACATAGGGAATGTACTAGAAAAAAAAAAATCCTACATTCCATTCCGGATCTGCTGAATTACAATTCTTAGGTAGGCAAGATGGCTCAGTAGATAAAGGTGCTTTCTGCCAAGCCTGACAACCTGAATAAAACTCATGGAGGTTAAGGGCTGGAGTTGTAACACAATGGTAGAGCACTTACCTAGACTACCTTGTTTTCCTCTGCAGCAAAGAAAAAGAAAGAAGGAAAGGAAGGAGGGAAGAAGAGAGGAAGGGTGGTAAAGAAATTGAGGTTGAAACTAGGAATCTATATTTTTAAAGTTCCCCTGAAGGTACTGATAATCTGTCAGGTTCTAGAACTAGTAAACTAGATACCTTGAATATTTGTTTATGGGTGTATACCATGTTTCTTTATTTCTGGTGTATTTTGGTTTTTACTTTGTTGTTTTGAGTCAGGATCTCACTCTGTTCCCAGGCTGGCTTAGAATACACTTGTGTATTTTAGGCTTGTCTCAAAGACATGTCAGGCCTGCCTCAGTGTTAGGATTAAAAGCATGAGGTACCATGCCTAGATAGTTTGGAAGATGTGTGCTTGTTTGGGGTTTTTTGTTTGTTTGAATGATTGGTTTTTGAGACAGGGTCTCACTGTGTAGCTCTAGCTGGCCCAGAACTTACTATGTAGACCATCCCAGGCTGACCTGCTCTCAGAGATCTGCTTGCTTCTGCCTTCTGAGTGCTGGGTTTGAAGATATGTACCACCACACTCAGCTGGTTGGTTGTTTTTTAGGTGATGATTTTGTTTGTTTTCAGATACAGTTATAGTGTAGCCTAGGCAAACCTTAAACTCACTCTATAGCCAAGAATTATCTTGTACTGCTGATCCTCTTCCCTCTACCTCCAGAGTTTACAGGGCTATAGGCATGTACCACCCTGTCTGGTTTATTGATGATTTTTTTTTATTAAAGTCTTTTGCAAACCTTTGACTTACCTTCTATTCTGATAGTAAAGATTGTAATATAGTTCAAAATAAAATTTTGTCTTAATAGTCTGTCTCTTGTCTGATTTAGGAAATTCACTAGGAGAATCAGTTACTACCAAAGTGGGAACAAATCAGACAGGGACTTTGTCTCCAGAGGCAGCTCACTTGCTCTCCCCACTTTCTTCATTTCAGCCCAAAATATTTACGCAACTTCAGGTAAGTACCCACTAAAATAGCTAGATCTGGGGCTCTTCTTCCTCCATGATTCTTCCTTTAGGAGTTTCAGAGAATTATTATAAAATTACAACAATGACCAGATATTTCAGTATTCGTTTTCTAATTCTTTGTCTTGATTTAAGATGATAATTCAAGTAGTATGTTTTGAAAAAGTTTGACAGAAACTATGAATGCCGTGAAATGTTATTGCACTATCTTTTCTTTTGTCCTAGTTTCTTTCTTTGTGTAATATTTGTTAATAACTATATACTTAATATTTTTGTTCTAATTTTTTGTCAAATGAATAATATAAAGTAAATCTAAATATTTTGATATAACTTTTTTTAAAGGGTTTGCAGTTACAGCCAAGACTCTCTCCTGATGGATCACCAGCTCTGATATCAGTAAATAACCATCCCTCCTCCAGTCCTTCAAGACTTCTGGATTCAGTAGGAAATGCTGTGGTGAATAATAATTCTCTGTTGCTTGGTCAAAGTCAAAGTCTTCAAACAGATACATGCCTAACTCAAAACAATAGTACTGCTTCCACCATGGGGAACCTCCCAGAACCAGTTCAAAATCTAGTTGCAATGGATCAGCTGGTGGAAGCTGAAGATGTTGAGGATACAGGGATTCTGGAAAGAAGTGTACATAGGATTCTCTTGAGAGATGAGCAGAGCATTCCAATACGAATCATAGACGGCCGCCCAGCTGTTAGTAAGTTACAGTTAATTTATGATGTTGTTTTTAGCCTTTAATAGACTATTATCAGTGCGTCATGCTATAGGGGAACAAAAGCTATCATTTCTACCCAGTGGGTTTATATATTGTATCACTCAAGCAAAATTATGAGGAGAGATTTCATTAGCTTAATGAAAGTTATTCTTGTTATATCTAATTACTTAATTGCATTGAAACGATTCATTTTTTTTTTTTATCCCAGCACTGAGGAAGCTGAGACAGGAGGATTGCAGGTTCAAGGACTGCCTGGACTACAAAGCAAGTTACTTAATTGCATTGAAACGATTCATTTTTTTTTTTTTTATCCCAGCACTGAGGAAGCTGAGACAGGAGGATTGCAGGTTCAAGGACTGCCTGGACTACAAAGCAAGTCCACACCAGCCTGGGCAACTAAGCAAGACCCTACCTCAAAATATAAAGAGGTCTAGGGATATAGAGCACTTACTACCATGCACATGAACCAGAGTTTATTCCCAGTACAAACAGGAAAGGAAGGGAGGGAGTTAGAAAGGGAGATAGAGAGGGAAATTATTCATTTCTTAATTAACCTGATTTTCTATAGAAAATCCTTGGCTATGTGAAACTAGGAAAGTTATTTTGAATGCATAAAATGTGCTAGAAGCAAATAATGTAAGGAAAGCCACTTTAATACAAATGCTATTAAAAATGGATAAATGTGCTGGGCAGCGGGGAGAGAAATGGGAGAATGGAAATAAGTAGGCAGATAAATGGTTAATATGAAGATTTCGGGTTATAAACTTAGATAGTAAGTTCTATGGAAATTTAAAGGGAGCCAATAAAACTTGAGCACATGAATTTATCTGAAGACCTTGTTTTTGCCATTCTATTTTTAAGCTACTCATTACAGTAATAAAGTTAGTTAACTCCTACTTGATTTTACCATGTTACTTTTCAAACAGCTTGTTCTGGCCTGGGCACTTCTTTAAGAAAAGATGTATGTGTATTTTGCTTTAAAGTACAAAAATCTTCACAGGAATCATTTTTAAAACATATATTTTGCTTCTATCTTAATCATTATTCTTCTTGGTAAATGAAACTGTGAGTAGCTCCTTCTAGAAAGAATTGCAGTCTTTTAAACTGATTGGAAGCATACTTTTAAGAAAATTTATCAAGAGAGCTGTCATTTGTAACTACTGAATAACTTTAATAGGTGAGGAGAAAAAGACATACATGGAAATTTATTCTCGTAACTCCATGAAACAATTATGGTATTCTCATTCTACAGAAAGGGAAACCAAGGCTCACAAGGTTAAGTAATTACCTAATGCTCATATCTATCTAGTAAGTGATTGAGGAGGTAATTAAACCCAGGTCATTCACCTTCTAAAGCTCTCTTTCCTTCTAAAATGCTTCCTCTCCCTGTTTTGTAACATAGGGAACACTAATCAAATTGCTTTAAAAGAATACCTTTTTAATCCAAATTTGTATGGTTTATCTAGTTAGATCATAATCTAAGGGGTTATTTCACCCGGATGTGAATTCTTGGAGTCATTCAAATTCATTCTTTATATAACCAGGTGTGGTAGTGCATGCCTTTAATCCCAGGCCTGGGAAGGCAAAGACAGGCGGATCGCTATATAGGCCAGCTTGCTACATAGTGAGTTCTGAGCCAGCCAAGGCTACATAATGAGACCCTATCTCAAAACAAATAACAAAATAACAACAAGGAAAAAACCCAAACTTATCTTCTATGTTTCTGACTAAACTCCTTTATGCCTGCATGTTACAAGCCTTAGATGTGTTCAGCATACTCTCTAAGCAAGTGACAGTCCTTTTAACCTATGTTTTCTAATAGCAACAGAAAAACTCATATTCTTGAGAAAGTATGATAAAGATTTGATGTTAGATATTTCATTGGCCAGTTAATGGTATATACTGCTGGTGTGCTGCCTCTACATTAATGTGATTAAAAGTACTTTGAAATCAGAATGCAAATGAAATCAGAATGTTTCAGATAAGCAAACACATAGTTCACACAATTAAGTTAGAGCTATCATTTTAAGACATGGTACTGTGTTTTTAAATATATCAACTATTTTTCTCAATTACAGCATGTCCCTTTTCTAAATGAAAGATTTTTGCTTTTATTCTAAAAAATTTTTAAGATAGTCTCATGTAGAATAGGCTGGTCTTAAACTGGATATGTAGCTGTTGAATTCATGATCTCCTCCTTTTTACCTTCCCAGCACTGGGATTATAGGTGTGCACCACCTACCTGGCTTTATATTCACATGATTTTAAAGACTTCAGTATCATAAAGAACATTAACCTGTTTAATTTTTTTATGTTTGGTTTTAAAGTTGAAGAAAATCCAGAAGATACTGTTTCCATGAACCAAGTTAAACAAGAACCCAAAGAACCAACATTGTCTATAGAAGCAAAAAAAATTTTGGACTGTAAAAAATTATCTGCTACATAAAGAATTATCTGCTACAACTCTGTAATTTCTGATGTCTTAGAAGGTGAAGATTACTAAAGCTTGACATGATGACTGGACTGGAGATTGGTTTGATAAGCAGCTTTGACTTGATACTGGCATATTTGTTGCCAATTCCATATTTTTATCTCCTTAGGAATTATTTTACTTTATATTGTATTCCTATGATCTATGATTATCTAATAAGGCCAGTATTTCAAAAGATCACCTGAAGTTATCTTCAATAATTTAGTCTGAACACAAATAGTTTTTTATCTCATCTCTGGAAATACCCGGTTTGGGTTCTTAAAAGACAAAAAGACCAACAATAAAAACAGTGTATGAGCGCATGTATGGGTGTATGTCATCAATTTTAAAGTTGTGAAAAAATTTTTAGTTAGCAGATAGGTGACAGAATCTTGTAGTCTTATCTTATTTGGAAAGATAAAGCAAAAGATTTTTCATAGTAACACAAGTTTCAAGCAGTCACATCCCTGGCAACTGCACTTGCAATTCAGCTTCTTGTAAGTTTTGTACTTTTATCTATAAATGAATAGAATACTAATGGTCATCTGATAGAAATTTAAATGTCTTGATAGGAATTGAATAATTTAGCTTGAATTAACCAGATAAGTAAAACAAATAAATATAAATTACACAGATTTTATTCAGTATTGGAGATAAAACTCTCTTTAGCAATAGAAACATGAAGAAGTTCAAAGAATTTAAAGAAGTATTGAATTCCCTGCTATTTATAGATCATTTGGGGAACTTTTGATGATAGCAAAATTTTATTAGTGTTTTGAAGATTCAGTTTTGGCTAGAAAATAATTTAAATGGTATGTACATTTTTCTATGCCAGAGTTCTCACAGAATTGATTGTATTAGGATTTATGTATTTCACGGTAAGTATACATAGTTTAAATTTTAGTTCATATTTTAAACTTTTAATGCCAGATCTGATATTTGATCATTAAATAAGTGTATTTACTTGTAATACCAAATTACTAGTAATCAGTATATTCATTATGAGCTTGTTTTCTGAAAGATTGGCCAGCTAAAAATTTCCATTGTAACTGTCAATAAATCAACCTGGTTGAGTGGTGTGCATCTGTAATCCCAACACTCAGGAAGTAGTGACTTATGAGTTTAGGTTAGCCTAAGCTATACAGTAAGACCTTATCTCAAAAGAAAGAGACAGAGAGAGGTACATCCTAAAAGATTTTGTTTTTTCTAGAGACTTATTTGTGGATATATTTTAAATTTTGTTTCTTAAAAATAAGGAGTCCAAGTGGATATTGATGTTTAATATTCAAAGCATGAACAATACAATATGGAATTTAACCTTAATACTTTATAGTCACTTTTTACTTTTCTAAGTCCAGTCTCCCATTCTCAGTTTAGTTTGTTTTAGGTACATGACATATTGCTAAATGTAAAGCACTGTTATTTTAGAAGTAGGTGGAACTCTAAAATTCTTTGCTCTTTAGATAGATTTATATCCTATTCAATATAAATTTTATTATTTATATCTTACTTATGCAAAGTTAATATCTACTTATATGTATGATTTTCAGTAAAAACTGCTTTTCCTTTTCTTAAGAACTGAAAATATTTGATGCCAGTATTTATAGAGGTAGGCTGCTAAATTTGAGTAAGTTCAACAGAACTTAGTAACCTCAGACCTGAAGTTCTCTCAGTCTGTGTGTACTTAAAAGGAGTAAGTCCAAATATATAGTTTGGAATTGTATTATAGGTATTATAATAGTCTTTTCATTTATTATCCTTTTTTTTTTTTTTGGCCTTTTTGAGACAGGATCTCCCTGTAGCCCCAGCTGTCCTGGAACTCACTATGTAGACCAGGCTGGCCTTGAACTCACAGAGATCCGTCTGCCTCTGCCTCCCCAGTGTGGGGATTAAAGGCGTGCGCCACCACACCGGGCCTCATTTATTATCCTTTTTATAGAAACTTTTTAAAAGAACTAATAGGTCTTCACTTTACAATAATGATAAAGATTTATTATTAAATATTTCACTAGTTGAATTATATTCTTTTGGAGACATTCCTGTTTGATGTTGAGCTACTAAGGAGAAATGCTTGTTAAGAAACAACTAGTCCATTTCCTGTGAGAATGAGAAACATCAGAGGATTCAAAATTTGCATTTCATCAAAAACAAACATAAAATATGTTTCTGTCACTCATTCTGTATAAATGTCTCTTCTGTTTCTATTTTTTATCATGAGGACAGAAAGTTTACATATATTGTTCCTACAAACAAAAACAAAACAGAAGACCAAACACATGAAGGAAAATTTAAATCCTTAATTGTATACTCTTGTTTTTTAGATAGAAACTGGAAGTATTAATATTTTTGTGTATTTAAATGAGTAGTTCTTCAAAAATGGTGTCTAAATGAGTTTAAAAATTCATTTGTCTTCTAAATGCATGCATACTCAACACATCAGTAGTGTTTAAAGGTGTTTAGCATCATTTTAAAACTGTGTTTACAAATTTTAAATGTTTAATTAATTTTAAACGTACTAGATCTTAAACACAAGCATTCTCCTAACAACTCTACAGCAAAGTTTGACAAATGTTCTTTTGTGTCATATATTACAAAATGTAATATCTGTAGTGATAAGTTGGACATTCAAAATAAGCAGTTAGAAATTCACAATTACAGCCCAGTTTGTTTCTTCATTGTAGTTTTCCTGTTCCAGACCTCCACGTGAAGTTTGCATATACAGCAGTAAGTTATAGATAAAAGAGCCATGATAGACTTTTCCCTCAGTAGTAATTTTCTGTGTAAGCAGTTAGCATACTTAAAAAGCTTTAACTCTATATGCAAGATAAATGTTTCCTAAGCATCACAAAAGTAATAGGAAACATAAGTTTTGGGATCCGGTCCTTTACTGAAGTTTCTAATTTTGAGACCTTTCATCTTGTATTTCATCTTCTTTATATCCTGTCAAAATATATACTTAATCATGTAGGTATGAGATATTGTTTACTTTATGCTAGGTTTATAAAGAGATTTAAAATGTGTGTGTATATACTGTAACTTAATATACAGTGTTCTTATAATGTAATTTTTTCATTAAAAAATTCTGGTTTTTTTTTTCTTACATTTAGTTTTTGGTGTGTGTGTGTGTGTGTGTGTGTGTGTGTGTGTGTGTGTGTATTACTTGCATGTAGGTAAGTGCACCCATGTCATAAAATGCCCAAGGAGGTCAGAAAGAGGGTATTGGATCCCCTGGAATTGGAGTTATGGATGGTTGTTTGCCACCTTGTGGGTGCTGGGAATCGAACCCGAGCCCTGTGCAAGAGCAGTCAGTACTGTTAACCACTGAGCCATCTCTCCAGCCCCTAAATGTTAATTTTTAAAAAAATACCTTTCTGGATACATGGCCATAAAGGAAAAGAAACAACCTGAAAGGGGGACAGTAGGGAACAAATGTTACCTGAGGGAGTTGGAAAAACTGGGAGTAATCCACAGGGAGGAGAGGAGGGAGGGACAT